CCCGCTCCTACCCCCCCTGCCCCTCCCCACAGGCTGCGAATGGGACCACCGTCAGCCACGGCCACCACTACAGACAGCAAGGACCAGTGGCCGCCGCAGCAGCAGCAGTCACTGCGCTCTAACAAGCTTGAGCTTGATCTCATGGTACGTGCGTGTGTGGTGTAGTGGCTTTCCATCTCTTGCCGACAACTTACCAGGTTTTTGTTTCCAAATCGGTTGACCAACTGCCTTGTACAACTTACTAGGTGTTTGTGTGTGTGTGTGTGTTTTTCTTTCTTTTCTTCTTTCCTTTTTTCCAAATCCGCTAATCCCTTTCCCTCCTTACCCTGCTCCCCCTTCTCGCCCCCCTTGTCCCCCACCCCGCTCTCCCCCTACCAAACAGTCCCCACCCGGCAACGGTCTTTCGCTGCTGGTTCCGAGTTCAGAGCGGTTGGGAGCGGTGGACGAGGAGGAGACAGCGGAAGGGGAGAGCAAGACGCATGTGCAACGTGGCATGGTGAGTGTGTGTTGCAGTGTGGTATGGTGCGGTATGATGTGGTGTGGTGTGGTGTGGTGGCATGGTGGTGTGTATGGTCTGTGGTGTATGGTGGGCAGGCTTGAGGGAGTGTGTGCGATTGACAGTGCCGTATGGAGAGTCCTTCTCATCCTCCCCGTCCGCGTGTGATGAGTCGGCGTGTGATGAGTCGACTTACAGTGCCGTATGGCGAGTCCTTCTCATCCTCCTCCGGTCTTTTCATCTTTCTCTTCTGTTTGGTTTTTGTTTTGTTTTTTTCCCCCATCATGTGCCATTTTATCCTTCTCTTCCCCGTCTCATCCCTCTCTTCCCCCGCTGTTTTTATTCTCCTTTTCCCCGTCTGATCCCTACAGCCACCACCAGCAGCAGGCGTTACACACAAGCACATGGGAGGGGGATTGGCAGGAGGAATAGGAGGACGAGGAGGCGGATTAGGAGTAGGGTTAGGAGGCGAAACTCCCAAGGAAGGGGTGGGAGGGAGAGCGGAGGGGGATCTTAATATGGAAGCTAGGCTTAGAAAAACTCCTTCCTTGAATAAAGGCGAGGAGGCCGTTGGATCCAGAAAGGGGTTTGATCTGATGCTGCTGAATGCCGAGGCAGAGAGAGGCAGGGAGAAGGAGAAGGAGACAAGGGAAAGGGATGGGCGGAAGGAGGCGGGGCGGGGTAAGGGGAGGGAGAAGGAGGAGAAGGACAAGGGGAGGGCGGAGAAGGGGAGGGAGAGGGGGAGAGGAGGGAGGGAGCAGGAGGTGCAGAGTAGGATGGAAGATGGGAAGGAGGAGAGGAAGGAGGGGGTGCTGCTGCAGAGATCTGGCAGTCAAAGAGGGGCGACAGCGAGGGGGGCGAAAGGAGACGCTAAGGGTGCGTCCAGGGATCGAGCTGCTGGTTCGTCTCCTGTGGTGGGGCCTATGTCCCCAGGAGCCGTAGGGTTGGGAGGTGCGGGTTTAGGAGTGGCAGGAGCGGCAGCAGGAAGCACGGTGGTTGGAGCAGCAGGAGCGGCTTTGAACCTGTCTGCTCCTGAAGCAGCAGCAGCAGCAGCTGCTGCTGCAGCCGCAGCAGGAGGAGCAGGAACAGGAGGAGGGGGGGGGGGGAGCATTAGGGGCAGCACCAGCTATCCAGCATCCCCCAGGGGCGCCCTCCCGCGCAGGAGCCCCCCCAGTGCCCATAATGCCCGCAGGCTTCCCCCCTCCGCCCGCCCACCTTGCCCCCATGCACCACACTCCCCCCAGCATGCCCCACAATCCCCCTGGGATGCCCCCATCCGGGGCACCTACTCACGGAGCAGCAGCAGCAGCAGCAGCCGCAGCGGCTGCAGCAGCGGCAGCTGCTGCGTCTATGCCTTTGCCGTTAGGGTTGGGAGGGTGGCCGATTCCTGGGATTGGGTTTTTCCCTCAGGCTGCAGCTGCGGCAGCAGCGGCTGCAGCTGCTGCTGGGTGGCCCCCTCCCTCTGCTGGAGGCCCCTCCTCGCTTCCCTCCTCTCTCCCCTCCTCTCTTGCCTCGTCTCTCCCCTCCTCGCTTCCCTCGTCTCTCCCCTCTTCCCTCCCTGCCTCCCTGTCGCATACAGGGCCGTCACTGCTCCAGCATGCTGGAGTGGCGTCACTGGCACATGCAGGGAGGGACGATGGGGTCTCCTCACCTGCTCCTCCTGGCCATGTAAGTCACTGTGGCTCCCTTCCCAGTTGTGAGTCGAACAAGGGTTCAAAATTAGGGTTAGGGTTCAGGGTTTGGGTTTAGAGTCGCACTGTCAGTACTCCAGCATGCTGGAGTGGCGTCACTGGCACATGCAGGGAGGGACGATGGGGTCTTGTCCCCTGCAGCCATGCTGCTGTGAGCGCCACTCCTGGTCACGTAAGTTGGCTGCTTTCCCTCGCAGGTGGCGATTAGCTGTCTGTGAGTGGTGATTTCCTTTCCCAGTTGTGAGTCACACTTCAGCCGCTGAGACACACTCGGCATCATCACATCGCTGCTGCATCATGCCCTTTCTCCCTTGCTGGCCCCGCTCATACTCCCCCTCCCCCCACTCTTCCCCCACCCCCTACACCCCCTCTCTCCCCCACACCCATCCCCCGCCCCGCTTCTCGCCCCTCTCGCCCTCCAGCCGTCGCAGCACACTCTCCCTCAACCGCCCCCAGGCTTACTCCCTCTGCCTTCGCAGCAGCAGCAGCAGCAGCTGCACGGGCGGCGGCCTTGGAAACGTTGTGCTCTGCACGTTTACATCGCCCACTTTATTGAGTTCAACCAGCATGTAGCACGTCAACAGCAGCAGCAACAGCAACAGCAGCAGCAGCAACAGCAGCAGCAGCAGCAACAGCAGCAGCAGCATCACCACCACCCGTTCTACCCCCCGCATTTCAGCAACTATGCAGCGGCGGCAGCGGCGGCGGCAGCAGCAGCGGTAGCAGCTTCAAAGCAGCAGCCTCCGTATGGGATGGCCATGCCGGGGCATATTCCTGGTGCGCCTCCCTTTGGCTTGCAAGCAGGTGGGGCAGCAGGCGGAGCAGCAAGTGCAGCAGCAGCGGCAGGTGCAGCGGCAGCGGCAGCGGCTGCAGCAGCAGGGGCGGCAGGCGGGGCAGCAGGTACAGGTGTGGCTCAAGCTCCCCTGCCTTCCGCTCTCCCTGTTCCTCTCTCAGCCCCCCCAACAGTCTCTGCTGCCGCTGCTGCTGCCGCTGCCGCTACCGCTGCTGTAGCTTCGGCAGCTGCAACTTCGACGGCGCCAGCATCGGCAGCTGCATCCGCGCCCGGTGCAGCAGGTTTGGCGCCTGGAGCTTCTCCGAGCCTCCCACACGGTTTGGGAACGGGTGCAAGTGGGGCAGGGGCAGGGAAGGATAAGGTGGTTACTGGTGGGGGCGTAGCTGCTGCTGCTTCTGCTGCTGCTAGCGGTAATATATCAGCAGGAGGGAAACATCAGAACCTGCAGCATTCTCAGCAGCAGCAACAGCAACAGCAACAGCAACAGCAACATCAGCAACAGCAGCAGCAACAGCAACAGCAACAGCAACAGCAACATCAGCAACAGCAGCAGCAACAGCAACAGCACCAGCACCAGCAGCAACAGCAGCAGCAACAGCAGCAACAGCACCAACAGCAGCAACAGCAGCAGCAACAGCAGAAACAGCAGCAACTGCACCACCAACAGCAGCAACAACAGAAATTGCAGCAGCAGCAACAGCACCACCAGCAACCCCACCAGCAGCAACAACAGCAGCCACAGCAACCGAAGCAGCTGCCGCAGCAGGAGCAACAGCAGCAGCAGCAAGTCCAAGGACCAGCCCAGGCTGGCCTGCAAGCAGGCGTTGCTGCTGCTGCTGCTGCAAGTGGCACAGCTGCTACAGCTGCTGCCTCTGCTACTGCTGCTACAGTTGTCACAAGACCAGCTGGTCCGATTCCTGCTAACTCCCCCATGTCGTTGCCTTTGCCTGCCTCTCCTGCCATACCTCCTGCCGGACCTGCTGCCGGACCTGCGCCCGGGCCTGTTCCCAGGGCTCCTGTTCCTGGTGCCAGACCTGTTCCAGGCTCGGAAGGAGGAGAGAAAAATGGCGTGAGCAGAGGGGTCAGTGGGCAGGTGGCAAGTATGGTTGGTGCTTCAGGTTCGGCAATACCTTCAGCTATGGCAAGTCCCACTGCACCTGCTACAGCCGCTGCTGCTACAGTTGGTGCTATGACCAGTGCTGCTGCCGGTGCTGCTACAACCAGTGCGGTGACAGGCGGTGCTGTGGGTGTAACAACAGGTGCAACAGGAGCAGCAGCAGGAGCCGCAGGGGTAGCAGCAGGAGGAGGAGCAGCAGCAGGACCACAAGTGCTGCAAGGGCAGGCAGTGAAGCTAGGTTCCGCAAACCAGTCAATGATGGCTCAGCACGGGCAGGTTTCCGGGCAGGTTCAGGGGCAACTGAAGCCGCAAGGAGCAGCAGGAAACGCACCCTCAGGAGGGCCCTCAGCTGCTGGGAAAGCTCTGGAGGGAATGGTAAGGCGAGAGGAGGCCATAGGGAACCATGTAGGGGGGCCGGTCTCCCCTGCTGTACCAGCAGCAGCAGCAACGGCAGCACCAGGGAAGGCACTTGCGCAGGGGCAGAATCAGGTGCAGGTTCAGGCACAGGGGCAGGGGCAGAATCAGGGGCAGATGGCGCATGTGCAACGAGTGGCAGGTGCTCCGGTTCAGAGCGGTGCTGCAGGGGGGCCGTCCACCCACCTGAGAATACCTGGGCTTTTCCCCGCAGGGGTGGTTCAGGCAGGGGCGACACAGGCAGGGGCGGCACAGGCAGGGGCGGCACAGGCAGGGGCGGCACAGGCAGGGGCGGCACAGGCAGGGGCGGCACAGGCAGGGGCGGCACAGGCAGGGGCAGCACAGGCAGGGGCGGCACAGGCAGGGGCGGCACAGGCAGGGGCAGCACAGGCAGGGGCGGCACAGGTAGGGGTGGCACAGGTAGGGGCGGCACCGGCAGGGGTAGGGCAAGGGGTTGGGCAAGGGGTTGGGCAAGCAAGTGCAGGGCAGGCGGGAATGGGACAGGCAGGGGCAGTGGCACGAGGGTCTGGACAGGCAGGGGTGGGGCATCCAGGGGCGGTGGCAGCAGGGGCGGCTCAAGCAGGGGCGGCTCAAGCAGGGGCGGTTCAACCAGGGCCGGTTCAACCAGGGGCGGTGCCAGCAGGTGTTATCCAGAGGCCAGGAGGGCAGGGATTGGGGATGGGGCTACCAGGTGCGGTGCTGCCAGGGAATGCGGGGCAGCACAAGGGGAGTACTCTATTACCACCTCTGTTGTTGCCACAGCAGCAGCTGGGGCAGCAGCAGCAGCAGCACCTGAATGTCCTTCCACGTGTGGCTGCTGGATCGCCATCGCCTCCGCTGCCACTGCCACTGCCACAGCAGCAGCAGCAGCAGCAGCAGTTGGGCCAGCAGCAGCAGAAGGGGAATGTCCTTCCACGTGTAACCGGTGCCTCACCATCTCCACCGCTGCCACAGCAGCAGCTGCAGCAGCAGCAGGGGCAGCTGGGGCAGCTGGGGCAGCAGCAGCAGGGGCAGCTGGGGCAGCTGGGGCAGCAGCAGCATGTTGGGATGCAGCAGAGACCTGTGTTGCTACCACGGCTGCCACAGCCGCAGCAGCAGCAGCAGCAGCAGCAGCAGCAGCAGCAGCAGCAGCAGGTGAAGCCAGCACAGTTAGCGCCACATAAAGTGCTATTGCCAAAGCTGCAGCAACAATCCCAGCAGTCTCTACTGAACCAGCAGCAGCAACAGCCCATGCAGCAGCAGCAGCAGGTGAGGGAGGGGCAGGAACCAGCGCAGAAGAGAATGAGAACGGAGAAGCAGCAGGTGCAGGGGGTAGCAACAGCAGGGCAGGCAGGCACTGTGGGGGCAGGCAGTGGTGCAGGGGCAGGGAACGCTAACGGGGCTGGTGCTGCTGTTGCTCCTGGTTTGAAGCCGCAAGGAGGGCAGATGCAGCCGGGACAGGTGGTATCAGGGCAAATGCTACCAGGACAGGTGCTATCGGGGCAGGTGCTACCAGGGCAGGTGCTACCAGGGCAGGTGCTACCAGGGCAGGTGCTACCTGGGCCGGTACCACTGGCCCAGGTGCAGCCGGGACAGGTGCAGCCGGGGCAGGTGCAGCCGGGGCAGGTGCAGCCGGGGCAGGTACAACTCCAGCCCAGGCAGGTGCCCCCGGGACAGGTGCAGGCAGGGCAGGTGCAGCCGGGGCAGGTACAACTCCAGCCCAGGCAGGTGCCCCCGGGACAGGTGCAGGCAGGGCAGGTGCAGCCGGGGCAGGTACAACTCCAGCCCAGGCAGGTGCCCCCGGGACAGGTGCAGGCAGGGCAGGTGCAGCTGGGGCAGGTGCTACCTGTTGCAGCAGCACCTGTTGTGGCACCTGTTGCAGCAGCACCTGTTGTGGCACCTGTTGCAGCAGCAGCAGCGTCCGTGGCACCAACACCGGCAGCAGCAGCAGCAGCAGCAGCAGCAGCAGCATCTGTGTCAAATCCTGTTGCACCACTGCCTGTTCCACTAGGGGCGCAGGGGCAGGCGCAGGGGCATGGGCATGGGCCTGCTGAGAAGGTGGTATTTGGGCAGGTGCTTCCAGGGCAGGTGCCACCTGGCAAGGAGTCGGCAGTTTCCATTACAAACCTAGGGAGCAATGCAGCAAGTTCCACAGAGCAGCAGCAGCAGCAGCAGCAGCAGCAGAAGCAGCAGCAGCAGTTACAGCAGCAGCACAATAAAGGTGTGGCTGTGCCTCCAGCACCACTCACGTGTGCTATCAAGGGAAGTCCTGTGCCTGTTCCCTCTGCTCAGGCGTCCGCAGCAACAGGCACGCAGCAGCAGCATCAGCACAATAAAGGTGTGCCTGTGCCTCCAGCACCACTCACGTGTGCTATCAAGGGAAGTCTCGTGCCTGTTCCCTCTGCACAGGCGTCTGCTGCTAAGGTTGCTCCTGTGCTTGTTCCGTCTGCACCCGAATCCGCTCCGAAGGTTGCTCCTGTGCTTGTTCCGTCTGCACCCGAATCCGCTCCGAAGGTTGCTCCTGTGCTTGTTCCGTCTGCACCCGAATCCGCTCCGAAGGTTGCTCCTGTGCTTGTTCCCTCTGCACCCGAATCCGCTCCGAAGGTTGCTCCTGTGCTTGTTCCGTCTGCACCCGAATCCGCTCCGAAGGTTGCTCCTGTGCTTGTTCCGTCTGCACCCGAATCCGCTCCGAAGGTTGCTCCCCTGCTTGCTCCCGCCTCAGCACACGAATCTGCTCTCAAAGTGGCTCCTCTGCTTGTGCCTCTCCCCCCTGCCCAAGCCCCCCCACTGAGGCCGCGCACTCCTGTTCCCCCAACCCCTGTTCCCCCCGCTCCTCTCCCCCCCACCCCCGTTCCCCCCACCCCAGTTCCCCCCACCTCCGTTTCCCCTATCCCCGTTTCCCCCGCCTCCGTTCCCCCCACCCCTGTTTTGCCAGTTCCAGCTTCCCTCATTCCTGTTCCCCTCAACCCCGTCCCCACCACTGCTGCTCCCCCTACTCCCGTTCCCTTGACTGCTGCCGCTCCCCCTACCTCTGTTTCCCCCACTGCTGCTTCCTCTCCTGCTGCTCCCTCTCCTGCTGCTCCCTCTACCGCTCCTGCTGCAGCGCATGTAGCGCATGTAGCTTCGGCAACACCTGTAGCGCCTGTAACTTTGGCAGCACCTGTAGTGCCACCTGTAGCGCCTGTAGCTTTGGCAGCACCTGTAGTGCCACCTGTAGCGCCTATACCTTCGGCAGCACCTGTAGCGCCTGTAGCTTTGGCAGCACCTGTAGCTTCTGGGACACCTGTAGCGCCTGCCATATCGCCTGCAGTGGCTGCTGCAGCAGCTGAAGCGCCTGCTGCAACGTCTGTAGCGCCTGTAGCACCTGCAGCACCTGCTGTAGCGCCTGCTGTAGCATCTGCAACGCCTGTAGCGTCTGATGTAGCATCTGTAGCACCTGTGGTAAGGCCTCAAGAACCTGCTGCAACGTCTGTAGCACCTGTAGCGCCTGCAGTGGCTGCTGTAGCGACTGTAGCCCCTGCCGTAATACCAGTTGCGCCGCTGCCGGAGGCAGCGCCTCCAGCTGTAGCGCCTGCTGTAATACCTGCTGAACCTGCTGTAGCACCCGTGGCGCCTGCAGCACCTGTGGCGCCTGCAGTAGTGCCTTCAGCTGTAGCGCCTGTGGTACCGCCTGCTGTAGCGCCTGTGGTAATGCCTGCTGTAGCTCCTGCCGTCCCAACGACGTTAGTGCCTGCTGAATCTGCTGTAGCGCCTGCTGCAGCACCTGCAGTAACGCCTGCTGTAGCTGTAGCACCTGCTGTAGCACCTGCTGTACCTGCTGTAGCGATTGTGGCGCCTGCTCCGCCTGATGTTAAAGGAGAGTCAGCAGCGGCGCCAGGAGCAACGAGTGTAGCAGCAACAGCAGCAGCAGCAGCAGCAGCAGCAGCAGCAGTTGCAGCAGGAGCAGCAGCAGCAGCGGCGGCGGCAGCAAGAGCAACACCACCAGAGCCTCCTGCTGCTGCCACAGCGACTACTGCTGCGGGAAAAGCAGCAGAAGAGGCAGCTTTTCGAGAAGAAGCCCTGCCAGCAGCAGCGGTGCCAGCAGCACCTGAACGAGCAGCAGCAGCACCTACAGTTGTAGCAGCACCAGCTGCGGTCGTAGCAGTCGTGCCAGCAACTGCAGCAGCAGCAGCAGCAGCGCCATCAGCAGCGCTGTCAGTACCAGCAGCGGTGCCAGCAGCACCTGAACAAGCAGTAGCAGCACCCACAGTTGCAGCACCACCAGCAACGGCAGCACTACCAGCAGCACCAGAGCGAGCAGCAACAACGGCCCTTTCAGTTGCAGCAGCACCACCAGTGGTAGCAGCAGTGGCGGGAACTGAAGCAGCCACAACCACAGTCACACCGATTACAGTCACAAACACAACTGGAACCACACCCACCATTGTGACACCCATGGTGACACCAACAGTGACGCCTACATTGACACCTACAGTGCCACCCACAGCCATAGTGACACCCACAGTTACACCTGCAGTGACACTAACAGTGACACCCGCAGCCACAATCGCTCCCACGGTGACACCCATAGCCACAGCAAAGCAATCTGTTGAAACACCAGCAGCACCCAGTCCCAGGGGAACAAGTGTGCAGACCGAAAGGGTGGAGGGAAGGGTTGCAGGAGGGGCATTGAAAGCAACGGCAGCTGCACCCACAGCAACAGCGAAGCAATCTGATGATACACCAGCAGCGCCCGGTCCCAGGGGAACAGGTGAGCAGATCAAAAGGGTGGAGGGAGATAAAAAGGGAGTGGAGGGAGAGAAAACGGGAGTGGAGGGAGAGAAAATGGGAGAGGAGGGAAAGAAAAAGGGAGAGGAGGGAAAGAAAAAGGGAGTGGAGGGAGAGAAAAGGAGATTGGAGGGAGAGGAAACAGGAGAGGAGGGAGAGAAAAAGGGAGGGGAGGAAGGGAAGGGTGGGGAGGGACGTGTGCAGACAAAAACGAAAGGGGTGGAGGGAGGGGTGGCAGGGGGGGCGTTGTTACCAGCAGCAACTGCACCCACAGCAACAAGCACATCAATCACAGCAACACCCGGTCCCAGTGGAGCAAGTGTGCAGAGCAAAGGGGTGGAGGGAGGGGCGTTGGAAGGAACAGCATCTGTACCCACAGCGAGAAGCACAGCAATCACAGCAACACCCGGTCCCAGTGGAGCAAGTGTGCAGAGCAAAGGGGTGGAGGGAGGGGTTGCAGGAGGGGCATTGGAAGGAGTGTCAACAACACCCACAGCAGCAGCAGAAGCACCAGCCAAGACCCCACAACTCCCTGTTGAGCCAGCCGCATGTGCCCCGGTTGCAACTCAAGCTGCAGTTGTACCTCCCCCAGTCGCACCTGCTTCTGCTGTAGCACCCTCCTCATCTGCCCCAGTCACCACGCATGCTGCAGTTGTACCTACCCCAGTTGTGCCTGCTTCCGCTGTAGCACCCTCCTCATGTGTACCCGCTCGAGTTGCAGCCTCCCAAGTCTTTCCCGAGCCAGCCGCGCCTGTCCCAATCACCCCGCAAGCCGCAGTTGTACCTCCCCCAGTTGCACCTGCTTCTGCTGTGGCGCCCTCTTCCGATGTACCCTCTCCAGTTGCAGCCTCCCAAGTCAAGCCGCCTTCAGTTGTTCCTGCTGTGCTGGCTACAACTGCAGCTGCTACAGCTGCTTCTACAGCTGTTACTACAACCGCCTCAGTAGCTGCACCCGCCGCTGCTACAGCTGCAGCTGCGCCCGCTGCTACTATACCTGCACCTGCAGCTGCTGCACCTGCACTTGATGCTGCAACAGCTGAGCCTGTTGGTGCTACAGCTGCGCCTGATATAGTCACACCTGGGACAGTAACGCCCGCAACAGTCACAGCTGCACTTACTTCAAATACTGCTGCTACAGATGCGCCTGTATCAGTGACTGCTGCTGCATTGCATGCAGTGGAAACAGCAGCAGAGGAAGAGAGGAAGGGCGGGGAGGGAGAAAAGAAGGATGGGGAAGGAGAGAAGAAGGGAGGGGAGGAAGAAAAGAAGGATGGGGAGGGAGAGAAGAAGGAAGGAGAAAAGAAGGGAGAGGAGGGAGAAAAGAAGGATGGGGAGGGAGAGAAGAAGCACTAGCGCCAGCACCACCAGCGGCAGCACTGGTGGCAGCACCACCACCAGCAGCAGCAGCAGCACTAGCGGCAGCACTACCAGCAGAAGCACCAGCCTCAGCAGCAGCAGCAGCACCAGCGGCAGCACCGGTGGCAGCACCAACGACAGTGGCAACACCAGTGGCAGCAGCAGCAGCAGCAGCAGCAGCAACAATACTAGTGGCAGCACCAGCAGCAACACCAGTAGCAGCACCAGCGGCAGCAGCTGGAGAAATTAAGCAGCATGGCTTGGGAGTAGGAACAGGGACAGCCTCAGGAGTAGCAGCAGGGGAAAAGGAGGGAAGGGCCAAGGAGGAACTCGAGAGAATGGATGTAGATGGGGAAAACGCGGATGGGGAGATGGGGAATGGGAAGAAGGGGGATGGGGATGGGAATAAGAATGGTGGCGAGAGGATGGATATAGATGGGGAAGGGCCGGGGGCAGCACACGGGGTGGTTAGTGGAAGGGTGGAGGGTGGTAAAGCGAGTGCTGAAGGGCGGGTGGACATGCGGCAGGAGAGTTAGGGTGTGGTGGGTACTGTGCATGCTGATTCGAGCCCTGCTGAGAAAGGTTCTGCAACATAAGGACGATTAACAGCTAGATGGGTAAGGAGGGCAGGCGGACATGCGGCATGACGAGAGCTAGGGTGTGCCGGGTAACGTGCATCTTGGTTCGATGCCTGCTGGGGCGGATTTTGCGAGATAAGGGACGGATTCAGCAGCTAGCTGTAGGGAAATCGAGCTTGTAAATAGGGCTGCAGCAGCACCAGCAGCAGGCAGCATATGCAGGAGCGCCTGTAGACTTTCCTGTAGCAGAAGCAGTTGTAGCAGGAGCAGCTGTAGCAGCAGTATGCAGCAAAGTATAAGGAATGTGATCTAGTATCGATGGTAATAGCAGTAGCGGTAGCTGGTGGCGAGGAGAAAAGGGTTGGAGCATAGTTGGAGGGTAGTGGCCGTTTAGCTAAAGAAACAGGAGCGTGATTTTGAGGCGCCTCAATAATAGTACCCAGTGGACTCAGGAGCTGGGATTGAAAATTGATAAAGAGAAGGAGCCTGGAGCAGAGTGAAGTGAAGCAAGAGGTATGGATGGGTGCTTAGAGGTATTAATCAGTTTCTAAGGTATGAATTGAGTACCTTTTCTGTCTCTGTTTTTTTTTCTTCTTTTTTCTTTCCCTCAAGCCATCTCTGTGCCGTTGTTCAAGTATCGTTACTGTACTACACTGCCCTCCGTCTCCCCTTGCCTTCAGGGCTCCAATAGGACACGGGCGGAAGGGCATCACTTCACTGCAGTGCCAACACGAAAGAACCATTCGCCTTAGAAAGTCATCCATTGAGAATGGTGATGGGAGTATGTGGAGTGGATGGATGGGATGTATGGACTGGGAATAAGGCGCTGGTGTGAGAGAGTTCTTGTCTGGAGAGTGCTTATAGAGAATGTACTCTACTCCATGCTCGATCGAAGAGTGGTCGCTCTGCGGATTGGTTGGGAACGTGGTTGGTTGGCACACATTTTATGGTGTGTGTGTGTGCCTCTGATTTGGTTCGGCCGGCACGACGACAACCTTACCTGATTTGCTAGCAATGCTGATATTCGTTGGTTCACTGACTCGCTGCCTAGACTATACTATCTCATATAAGAGGATACACTTAGGGTTGGTCACAGACTTAGTAGATGCTTTTGTTTTACTTAGCTAGCTAAGCCCTTCCATTCTCTTTGCTTGATCAATAAGGGTACGTTCCTGTGGAGACACTTGTGTCTCAATCCTTTTGTGACGCGTAAAACCAGCTTATAACGTACAATGTCACAAACGCGTGTCGCCCTTGTGCGACTTTTAATGTATTTTTCATTTGTCAGCGTGAAACGCGCTGATGTCGC